CACCACCACCACCCCCAGCACCACCACTACCACTACCCACCACCACCACCACTACCACCACCACCACCACTACCACCACCACTACCACCACCACCACCACCACCACACCCCCACCACCACCACTACCACTACCACCACCACCACCACTACTACCACCACCACCACAACTACCACCACCACTACCACCACCACCACCACCACCACCACCACCACCACCACCACCACTACCACCACCACCACCACCACCACCACCCCCAGCACCACCACTACCACTACCACCACCACCACCACTACCACCACCACCACCACTACCGCCACCACTACCACCACCACCACCACCACCACCCCCACCACCACCACTACCACTACCACCACCACCACCACCACTACTACCACCACACCACAACTACCACCACCACTACCACCACCACTACCACCACCATCATCACCACCACCACCACCACCACCACCACCACACCACCACCACCACCACCACCCCCACCACCACCACTACCACTACCACCACCACCACCACCACTACTACCACCACCACCACCACTACCACCACCACTACCACCACCACCACCCCCACCACCACCACTACCACTACCACCACTACCACCACCACCACTACATACCACCACCACCACAACTACCACCACCACTACCACCACCACCACCACCACCACCACCACCACCACCACCACAGAGCACCTACAGGCAGATCTTTATTAAGTGACATTCTGTTTTTTTGTATACTGTACACTTAAGATCCGTGTTAGATTCTGTGTAGAAAGTCATTTGTTCATTTACGACTCATTTGTCACAGGTTCTAACCCCGCCCGTACCGTGGATTGTTCATCTACACATAAATGTCGATTAATAAGGAGAAATATGTGCACCAGCGGAAGTCAGACACTCGAACACCTGCTCAGGTCTCACTACTTCTTCACGCTGGCTACCTGGCACTGGAGGTGACACTATGACTCATCCCACCTATTTAACTACTCTACTTTTCCTAGCACCCAGCAAGAAGTTTCTCAAAGAATGTCTGGGCGAGGCACCTCTGTCAATCTCCTGTTCTCTTTGTATATAGATAAGAGTGATTATGCTATAGATGTGCTTTTGCAAAAGTTCTTAGCCAGTGACACACTCCATCCCATTTGTTATTTTCTCCTCTGATCTCAAGTGACATCAGACAAGCTCTGTCACTCTTGACAAAGAGACATTAGCTCTGATTGTACAGTTAAAGCACCATGTTTTTCACACACCATAATAATACTTTTACATTGATAAAGACAATAAAGTGAGAGATACTAGGATAACAAGATGGGATGTCCGTAGCCAATCTTTCACAATTATTGGTCCTCGTAATATTATTACTGATACTTTCTCACGTCTTTGACTTAAATTAACGAAAAAGTGTTGCCCAGGTCATCCAGTTTACATCTGGATGAAGCACTGTCTCTTGTCTGACCAAATTCAATGAAACAGCAAAAGTTTCCTTGTCTCTAGACGCCCAGGCTCAGTCGTTTAACTGTTCCATTTTCCAGTCAAAGAGAAGCAGACTTGTAAATTCTGCTCTACGTCTGAAGACATGTATCATTATAGATTTATGCACAGTGTCTGCAAGATATATGCACAGTGTCTGCAAGATATATGCACAGTGTCTGCAAGATATATGCACAGTGTCTGCAAGATATATGCACAGTGTCTGCAGATATATGCGCAGTGTCTGCAAGATATATGCACAGTGTCTGCAAGATATATGCACAGTGTCTGCAAGATATATGCACAGTGTCTGCAAGATATATACACAGTATCTGCAAGATATATGCACAGTGTCTGCAAGATATATGCACAGTATCTGCAAGATAACTCTGCCTATCGGTCACCAGAAACTGCGTCATCCAACTCCACCTACAGAGGTTTTAAGCAATTTGTACAAGTTGTTCTAAATAAGTAAGATTTATACTATTGAAATATTCTAAATATATGAAAAACACTTTGTTAATTGTAGATTCATTTTAAAAGTGCACAATATTACAGTCTATAATGTTTCATATTTTATAATGACATTTAGTACTGTCTTCATGAATTTTGTGAATAATGAAATCTTGTATATTTCACGTTCATAAGCACCAATTTTTTTTCTTGAGGACGTGTAGTTTTTATGTTGCATAAACATATAGATTTATTACCCACAACAATCCAGAGATCCTGCGTGTTTAAGTGTAGTTTATCGAATATAGACATTTTGTCATTATTTGCTACACGTAAAGTCATCTCACAGACTCTAACTCGAATCTAAATGAAGTCTGGAAAAAATGTCTCAGAATTGACTCACGAAATCGTAATGACACGATTGCAAACAAACCATACCACGGGTGGGGTTTGATCCCGCGGTCAAGGAGTCTCAAAACTCCAGTTTTGAGACTCCCTGACAGCGGGATCAAACCCCATCCGTGGTATGGTTTGTCTCAGAATTATCCAATGAGTCAGTTGTCAAAAAAATTGAAAAATTCAGCCGTAAATTCTGCTATGGATAGTAACAACAATGTAGTGATACTGCTCCTGTGGGGAGCAGCAACAGGATAATACTGCACACCTCCCCCCTTAACAACAACAACAGTTTGGTGTGTGTCATGGGCGCCAACACATGGTGTGTGATTCTCTTCTTTTATATCAATATATTAATGATGCAGATTACATGGTGAGTTTAAATATGTGGCCTGTAGTTATAACTTTTCTCTTGACATATGCAAGACATCACCATCCCTGTAGAAGCAGTTATTTGATGTACTAGTCATTATATTTTGTTGTTGCAGAAGTACTATGAAGATTCTATGTTCAATAAAGCCTAGAGGTAAGGCCTGTGTTTCTATCACAACAATTTATTGAACATAGAATCCTGGGCTACCTGGTGGTGATCCTGCGCTAGACTACATCACAACATGGAGCGTTTACTGAAACCTGAGAGGCTAGACTGTGACCCCAGCTTATCAACGGCTGCTCAGAAATGGAAGCACTGGTTTAAGACTTTCGAAAACTTCTTGAGAGCCCTTCCTAAAAAAGATCTAGATAAACTAAGTCTGCTTATCAATTTTGTGTCACCTAAGATATATGAGGCTATTTCTGAGTGCAATACCTATGAAGATGCTATCAAAACCCTCAAGTCTCAGTATATTAAACCTACAAATGAAATCTTTGCACGCTATCGCCTTGCAACTCGCCGCCAGCAGACTGATGAATCCTTAGAGGAATACCTTCAAGCACTGAAAATTTTAGGTAAGGACTGTCACTTCCAAGCA